GGTCTTGGGGACGAAGACCATGTCGCGCTCCATGTGGCCGGTGGCCTTGTGGTGCTTGCCGTGGGAGATCTTCCAGGAGAAGTAGGGAACGAGGAGGAGAGAGTGGCAGACCCAGCCGACAGTGTCGTTGAGCACCTTGGAGGGCGAGAAGGCCTGGTGGCCGCACTCGTGGGCAAGAATCCACAGACCAGTGCCGAAGAAGCCCTGGAGGACAGTGTATAGGGCCCAGAGACCAGCGCGGAGGGGCATGTTGGGGACCGTCTCGGGAGTCACGTAGTTGTGGAACACGTAGAAGGTAGCGGCGAGCGAGGCGAGGTCGCGGGCGACGTAGCCCAGACCACGGATGGCAGAGCGCTCGAAGCAGTGCTTGGGGATGGCATCGCGCAGCTGCTTGATGGTGTAGTCGGGGATCTCGAACTCGTTGCCGTAGGTGTCGAGGAGCTTGCCGGTAGCCTTCTTAGAGTGCTGGGGCTGCTCGTCCATCGAGGACAGCGACGTGTTGGAGGCTGAGCCGGCTGGCGAGTCGAAGGGTGAGGCCGAGACTGAGTTGGCAGTCGAATCGGCCGTCATATTTCTCTTCAGCACAGGCTGCTGGGCGCGGGCAGTCGAGGTTGCCATGGTGGGAGAGGTTGTGGTGTGGTGGTGGAGGGGAAAGAGGGTTGGCGGTGGGGAGCAAGCCTGAGCAGTTGCAGCACCAGAGGGCTATCAACTGTTGAGATGCAGGGCAGGCTGCGAATTGGAGGGTGTGCCGGGACTGGCAGGTGGATGAATGTCTGTACGACTTTCAGAGAGTGAGAGAGATTAGGTGAAGAAGGGCGCTGTGTGTGCGGGACAGGTGGGAATTTAAAGCAGGGCCCTCAGGGCGGTGTCGATGAATTTCTGGGTATGCGCCAGGGTAGGAATGGGCAGGTCAACGAGCCAGGGGCGTTCGAGAAGCCGTTTCGCTTCGATAATCAGACAGGTCCGGCTCCATCAACTAGCACGCTTTCTCTCTACACCTTGTGCATCTCTCTCCACTCGGCAAAAATTACTTTCACCATTGCCCTCCCTCGCCACCGCACTGGACACGGACAGCTCTGTCCTGGTCGAGAGGCGTGGTACACGGTGCCATCTCCACCGGCATGCGTGTCCAGCACTGCATTCTCTAGCTCCCTCCCGCAACAAGCCAGTCTACATGGGGCCCTGAATTTTCAGCAGATCGCTCTCATCCGTTGGCTTGGCGCGTCGCTAGCCATGAGTATGGCAAGCAGACCGCTTGTTTGTGCCCATCACCACCCGCACTCCAGCGCCTCGCCTAGAGTCGTCGCCCGCAGGTACCAGGTGGATATCTGCCGGGCTTGAACTGGTGGCGATTGTCTGAGTTGGCGCCGAATGAACCCGCTACACTACTGGGTGTGTAGGCTACTACCCCCTACCACGAGCAAAAGCAATGCGCACTCTACGGAGGCCCGCAATGGCTCGAAAACGTTGTGGGCGCACATCGCAAAAAGTCGGAATGCCTCCCACGGATGGTGCAGGCCTCGCTGCAGGGTCTGGGCTAGCGCGCCAGGCACCATTCAACCAGATTGATTCGCCGCAGACCCCGCCGAGGTTCAGCCTTTGCCCTTCGAACGCGTCTCCACACGTGGAGGGGTCCTCTGGGCCACGTCTCGAGCTGCCATCACTTCTGCCATCGCTACCAGACGCCTCTTCACGGCGTGGCATCGCATGACGGGCTCACTGACGCTTATCTATGTACTGCGGCTGTTCAACGGTCGGCTTACATCCTTCGTCGGTCCCAACAAACTATACATCGTCATCTCACACCTAGCTACTGCCCCGTACATGTCCAGGTGCATCGCTTGGCGCTCTCGGTTACGCTAGTCTATCTTATCTTTGCTAGCAGAATCTCGCAAGCCATACCACAACGGTCCTCGAACCACGTCGAATTGGCGTCTAGCGCAGTACTCCTCTTACACCTGTATCACGATACTCAGAACCCATTGCACTCGTTATGCTTTGCTCGCGTTCAAGGTCTCTTGCTGAGACTCACCTCCGTTCGGGCCGTTGTAGCAGGACGTCTCACATCTTTCGCCCCGAACACACTCTGATGATATCAACTTTCTTCTTCTCATCACGAATTTCTTTACAGACTAATCCGGTTCTGGAACTGCGTTCAGCCTTCTCTCGGCCATCTTCGATAAGTGTGGTCGCGCTGTAGCGACTAGCACCTACGTACTCGGGACTTTCACATGCCAACCCCACTACCCCATCACCACCGGCAAGTGGATCACGGAGAATATTGAGCGGAGGATCGCCCCTAAAACACGTTCAACGGCTTTATCGGGCCCCTCAGATCGATCCTGGGACTTGCAACCTTGATCTTGGCGCATACTAGCAAGCGACGAGCTTCAATGGTGATTTCCACATGTTACAAACGTTTTGCTGGGGCGGCGATGATATCAAATGCACCGGGCAGGTCTCGTGCTGGAAATCGATCACTCTAGTCACGGACCCTAAAGGGTTTTTCACGTGTCTCCGAGGTACTCGTCACAATTGGCCACTTACCGCATACGTGGACCTTGAGTGTAGCACTGGGTTCAGGATCAACACAACACATGCTATAGTGAAGCATGCCAACCTAGGAAAAACTTGAACACCCTGGAGCCTACGTTTACGTTGGGTCACACACTTTACAGGTTTTTGTCTTGATGTAGCTCCCAGGCCTGTTCAGGTTTTTTTCTTGTATAAGGTGAAAGCACCATTGTTTATCAGTGTTCATTCCTGGCTTTGGATGTCCTCCTTATACTTCCAAGTGCTGACGAGAAATAGCGGCACACGACTTGCTTCAGCACAATCAAACATGCGGAGATTATGCCTAGATTTGCCTCGGCCAACGTCCAGAGGCCTCGCTCTATAAAATCCCAGGTTTCGTCTCGTTGGTTGCGCACGCTATTAGCAACGGCTGTAGCACGTAGTATTGACGTTATTGTTACACTAATGATACTGTCAGTGCATGTACAGCACATGGTGATGCACACGCAAGATAGCTGTCTATACAAGCAATACTTACAACCCGCCGAGCAAGAATATGCTGTATAGGAGAATCATCTCTTGGGATTTGAGCCGTAGTCCCGAGATTTCCCGGATGGGCAGTGCCAATACGATCACATCTGTCGTAATATTGATCGCGGCGTTTGCGACCCAAAATTCCGAGCTGTCGATGCAGTTTCCTTCGATATCCTTATCCCAGGATCGCTGGATTGGGACGCATTGGAAGATAGTCGCGAAAACAGTGGCAATCCCAGACGCGACAACGATGGAAAGCGCGCAATAACACATCCAACAGAAGTGGCGTGAGATGAGCATGCTTGAACTGAAAATGCGCTTGTACAACAGGATAACGGAGATTTTGTTCAAGCACACCACGACTTTGTATGGTGTCTGCGCGAACCAGAAAAACTTGAGGCACGTCCGCAACTCTTCGATCGAAAGATCAGCCTTGTGTTTGCCATAGCCGTACCCAACAGATATATGAACAAAGGCCGACATCGAAATGGAGAATAGCTAATACGTCTTAGTCAGAACACCAGCGAGCATACACTGGACTTACCAAAGACGCTACGATCGCGTAGTCGTCAGCGCGTAATGCCACATCTCCTCGAAGTCGAACGACAATTCTGGCAACGACCGTGAGGCCAGCGACAATGATCATTACAAGAGATGTCAAGTACAGCTTCCATCCTTGGTTGGCTTCACCATCTGATAGGAAACCCATATTGAACGTCATCTCGTATGGAAGTCCGTATCGCTCGGCAAATTGCTCTGTGCGAAAGACATAACTAAGTCCAAGCCTCGAGCGGACAAGGTCATTATCTGAATGCTTTGTTCTCATCCTTCGGTCTGCAACCAAATGCTTGTGCCGCGGAGCCCACTTTGCCTTTTTCACATCTCTATGTCATGGACCCAACTTTACTGGCTGTAACAACAGCTCATATCGCTATCAGTGGAGAGACATTATCGAATGTGGTGATCTTCGGGTCGGGTGAACCGATCAGTGTTCCTCCGACCCCGGGAAACACATAAGCGACAATCCTTCACACGTCGGCCTCCCGTTTGAGGAAAGGCGTCAAGGAACCTTGTATGCGGCGTAGTTGTACGAGCTGTCCTGCAGGGTAGTTCGGACATAAGGACATCGAAGGCATTTCCAATTATATTCGCGCACGGCAGCAATCGAATCTAAGATTGCGACCAGCGTTCTTATTGCCTCCTGCATCTTAAAGAGCACACAATCCTACGGACACCAATTTTCAGCCGCACCTTTCTGTCGACAATCGCTGCTCTTGTAAGGAGTGATTAGATCAAGATGCATAGTCTTGTAACCCTATCATTGTGGCTATGTGCCATTGAGTTGTCTCTGGCTGCGCCGAAGACATTCTCCTACGAGCACGCGAAGACGGAGAACGGGCAGATCACAGGCCATCGTTCACCCAAAGTCAACGGGGTCTGGGAGTATCTGGGCATCCCATTTGCGCAGCCACCACTTGGTGCTTTACGATTCGCTGCACCTCAGAAATACAAAGGCCAAGATGATTATATTGCTGCCAATTTTGTAAGCATTTACTTGGCGTTACCAACCCATAGGATGCAAATGTGTTGACGATCAGAACAGGGATAGTAGGCGTCTGGTATTGATGCCGCATATATTATTAGGCTGATATTATGCACAGTGGCTGCCCACAACAACCTCCTAGCTGGCCCGAATTTCCTGGATTTACTCCTCAAGCATTGACTGTCCTTGACTCCGGTACGAAATCCCAGAAACAGAGGGCATATCAGTGCAAGACGCCGTAACGATAGCTCGCGAGTTCGTGCATCTTGACACACACACGAAGTACCCTATACTCTATCTATAACTGTGCTAACCGTTCCAAGTACGTTACCATTGATATACAACACTACCCACACCTGCCAATGGGTACTGATTTGAATCCTTGTTTCAGTTTGCTGGTGGTGCTGGAATGCCCACAAGTGAGGACTGCCTTACCTTGAACATCTGGTCGAAGCCAAGCATTAAGTCTGCTAAGGCGAAGAAACCTGTCTATGTTTTCTTTCATGGAGGACGTGAGTCATCATTTGTCCTCCCATCCCCAACGTCCACTTGTCTTACTTGAACAGGCTTCGCTGGTGGCTATACCAACACGCCCTTTGCCAATGGCCAATACCTCGCAAACAACGAGGACATAGTCGTCGTTTCGGTCAACTACCGCCTCAATGTCTTCGGCTTTCCTGGTGCCCCTGATGCAGACACCAACCTAGGATTGCGGGACCAACGTCTCGCAGTGGAATGGCTGCAGAAGAATGTTGCAGCATTTGGCGGAGACGCGAAGAAAATCGTCATCTCTGGCCAATCTTCTGGCGGTGCAGCTGTGGACTGGTGGTCCTATGCGTACAAGGAGAACCCTATGGTCCACGGTCTCATGTCCACATCAGGTAACGTGTTCAGCTTCCCCATGAACACACCAGAAAAGCAACGATCCAACTGGTTCGACATCGTCAATCTAGTAGGTTGCGGTTCATCAAACGAAACGCTGTCTTGCATGCGCCGTCAACCCTGGGAAGTCCTCTCAAAAGCCGTAACAAAGATCCCTCCCAGCCCAGGCGGCAGTCCGGTCCGTTCAACACCGCCATTCTACCCCCTGGTCGACAACGAAACCATCTTTTCCGACTACCTCTCCCGCTCAGCAGCCGGCGACTTCGCTAAACTGCCTTATTTCCACGGCCACAACGACCACGAACAAGGCTACTACGTCATCCCAGCTTTTGCACAAGGTCGAAACGTGACGGAGGCGTAGGGCGACCAGTTTCTCCTTGAGTCCTTCGTCTGTCCCGTTTCTCACGAAGCTAATGCACGCATCGATGCTGGTGTACCCACATGGGTCTACCGATACTACGGCGATTGGAACAATACCCGTCTGTATCCTACATCTGGTGCGTATCATGGGACTGAACTGAACATGATTTTTGGTGGCTCTGCGGATGCTAGCGGCCTCCCTCAAACGCAGGCTCAGAAAGACACTGTTAGGCTTGTGCAGCGCGCTGTTGCGGCGTTCACTGAGGACCCGAAGGATGGACTGACGAAGCTGGGCTGGCCGGTCTTTGATTGGGAGAAGGAGAGTTGGGGTGAGATTGCTGTGGGGAATCGAGCGGAGATATCGTTTGCGAGACCGGAGAAGTATGATGCGAAGTGCGAGGATGTTGTATTGGGGTCTTTACAGGGCATGTCGTAAGGGCAGGTAGGGACTGTGCTGTGCAAGCAAATCTCAGCAGATCTTCGCATCAGACCCTTACGGCCCTAAAGCACGACGTTCCAATCTTCGGCCTGACCAGGCCTTTCATGAAGTCCTCATTGTATTGATGGGGTCACTACTGAACCGGAAAATAGCAACACTGGAGCAGACCAGCTCGTCCGTTAGTAGCTATCACGTACAGCATAGATGAACGAGGAGGATACGTCGATCTTGGGAGTGTTTATTCCGTTGCGCATAAACAGATGTGGTATTCAAAGCCTGACATGGATTCAACGAATGACAGTTCCAATGGCATCGTCGGAAGCATGCTCTTACTTGTAACCAGACTCAAGCACGAAGCCTACAATCGTGCTCTTAGCGATCTGACATCCAACTTCTTCCAAGCCAAAAACGCAACCAAAGCCACAACACTGATCCGCCCAACAAGTGCCGTGGCAACCGCCCTCCTGACAAGCGGATAGTAGCCCTCCAACATGGAATTGACCGCAGCGCCTCTCGCCATCATCTTCGCTCTCCCGCTTTGTCCCCACCCTCTCCCTACACCCAAGCCAGCTATGCCGACCTCACCCGGCTTCTCTTCCTCCAAAGACCCAAGCGCTTCACTTCCAATACCTGGGAAGTCCTGGGTGGGCAGCCCTGTCGCATCCTGACTATTCGTCGTTGTCACGCTCGACGCAGCTGTGCTCATTTCCAAAGACTTCTGCTTCCGGAATCGGTACGACATGGCCCACATGACGAATCTTACGTCCCAGTTGGTAAATGTAGGATATGTCCAGAGCTCCAGCGCGTTGTGTGGTGGCATGTGTTCTAGAAAGTCGCTTACGACGCCCAATGTCAAACCCCATAGTAATAATGGAGGCCTACGGTCCTTAGATCTTCCCTCGGGGCCTGCCAATGCTTCTCTGATCGTATTTGTGATACTCTGTGGCGCTGCTTCGACGGGTATGAAGTCGGGGATGGTTGCGCAATGCGTCGAGTTGGCTGGTACGAGTTGTATGGCAGCAAACATCATCTTGCTCAGCATGGCTTGTAGGAACCAGCGCTTGATGCCCAGTTCGGACTTTGCCAGTCGCGCTGAGACATCGGCGTATTCGTGTGTACGGAGAGCTGGTGAGAGAAGGGCGCGAATGGGGACCCAATGTGACGAGGCTACTTCGGTGGGCTGCAGGCGTTGCTGTGGGTAGGCGGGAGAGGTCAGGAGGTAGATGTACGGGCATAGTACCATGAGTCTGCTTGTGGTCAGCCTAGGTTCGGTCGATTATAGTCTCCATGATCCAAGTCTAAATGACGTTGAGTGACGACGTACGGTACTTTGCCCCAGCTCGTCGTAACGATGCGCTGCGGTAGATTGCCGACCGCGATCGCATTGGCAGGGGTCAGATCAATGCCAACCTCTTCGAGCGCTTCTCTAGCTGCTGCTGCCTGGTCGTCCTCATCCTCTGGATCCCTCTTCCCACCTGGCAACGCAACATGTCCGTTCCACTTATCACCGATTCGTGCGGCTCGCTTTATGAAGAGTAGCTCGGGGTCTCCGTGCTTGACCCATTCTTGTGAAAAGAAGGCGCTTAGAGACGACTCAAAGTCGAATTCGGAATGAGGCTGTGCGACAGATGATCGTCTGCGTCGAGGCGGCAAAGGGCTGTCGGAGCTGTCAGGCCAATGCGAGTAGTTTGGTTGTATGCGAAGGATGAGGGCTACAGAAGCGCGTTTAGGCAGGTTTGGCGGACACGCGACATCAGGATAGGGGTTCGCGTTGAGCTCCAGCAGAATGGACTGGAGATGGCTGACGAGGTCTTCGGTACTACTATGCGTTGTCATGATATCTACGGGATCTCAATGCGTTGGTAATGGAAGTACGCGTTCGAAGATGGATGGGTCGGGAGGCCCACGGCAAGTTGGAGAGGGTGGTGACTTGTCGCGGGTACTGCTGTGCATGCAAGTGACACAAAAAAGAAACGCGCGCCGCGATGAGGTATAAATGTCGGAGGACGTGAATCTTGAGATTCACCGATTGATATATGCGTATCGCAACGGAGAACCGAGGCGCGATAATTGACATGGCCATGGCGATTGGCTGCATCGCTCAACTCTGCGTAGAGGAGCTGACGAGCGGTGAGTGGACGCCATGATCGGTACGACACATGGATATGGGAAGACAGGCGATGCACAGCGGGAGCTACGCGTATATCCAAAGGATACGAGCCGTAGTGATCTGGAGTTTGCGTCTCGCAGTCGCGTAGCGGAGATGAGCTCTGGCCAATCGGGCTAATGCCATGGAGGGGCAGGCAAATGAGGTCACTTGTGAGCCCCGCGACGCCAAAAAAACTCCACAGTGTGTCGTGCGCCATTGTTTTGTACCCCAGATCTCTCTGCTTCGATTGACTGCCTCTCTTCAATTGACAACTGAATATTCAAATCATAGTCAACATGGGAGGCCAAAAGACAGGTAAACACACGCTTCCAGTGCCCATGGATTACTCCTAACTCTTTGCGACAGCAATTCTGTCAGTTTATGACAAGACCGGTCTTCTTGACCTGGCCAAGGGACTGCACGAATGCGGTGTCCGGCTGCTGGCCTCGGGCGGCACGGCCAAGATGATCCGCCAGGCCAACTTCCCCGTAGAAGATGTCTCTGCCATCACCAAGGCGCCTGAGATGCTCGGTGGACGCGTCAAGACGCTCCACCCCGCCGTACACGGAGGCATTCTCGCGCGCAACCTCGACTCGGACGACTCAGACCTCTCCGCCAACAGCATCGACAAGATCGACTTCGTCGTATGCAACCTGTACCCCTTCTCCGAGACCGTCGCGCGCATCAACGTTACCATCCCAGAGGCCGTCGAGGAGATCGACATCGGAGGTGTCACCCTTCTTAGGGCCGCCGCGAAGAACCACGCACGCGTCACCATTATCAGCGACCCCAACGATTACCATGACCTCCTTACCGAACTCAAGAAAGACGGCGAGGTCTCAGAGAACAGCAGACAGCGCTACGCGTTGAAGGCTTTCGAGCAGACCTCGTCATACGACACCGCCATCTCCGAGTTCTTCAGGAAGAAGTATGCAGGCGACGGCGACCAGTTCCTTACCCTCCGATACGGCGCAAACCCCCACCAAAAGCCCGCGACCGTCTCGATGCCGGAAAAGTCGCTGCCCTTCAAGGTGCTCTGCGGCTCTCCCGGATACATCAACCTGCTCGATGCGCTCAACGCATGGCCTCTGGTGCAGGAGCTGACCAAGGCGCTCAACTACCCAGCGGCAGCCAGCTTCAAGCACGTTTCGCCTGCGGGCGCGGCTATCGGAGTTCCCCTCAGTGAGGTGGAGCGCAAGGTATACATGGTCGACGACATTGAGGGCATTGAGAAGTCGGGTTTGGCACAGGCCTACGCTAGGGCGCGTGGTGCTGACAGGATGTCAAGTTTCGGCGACATGATTGCCCTGTCCGCTGAGGTCGATGTCCAGACTGCGAAGATCATCAGCCGCGAGGTCTCCGACGGTGTCATTGCACCCGGCTACACCGCCGAAGCTCTGGAGATCCTCAAGAAGAAGAAGGGTGGAAAGTACCTGGTCCTTCAGATGGACCCTGACTACGTCCCAGGCCCCGAGGAGACCAGGACCGTATTCGGCATCACGCTCAAGCAGCACCGCAACGACGCCAAGATCGTTCCTGCCGATACTTTCAACACCGTGATCGTGCCCAAGAACTCTGGAGCTCTTCCGGAGCCTGCCCAGCGCGACTTGACTGTCGCCACCATTGCGCTCAAGTACACCCAGTCCAACAGTGTTTGTTACGCGCTCAATGGCCAGATCGTCGGTCTCGGAGCTGGTCAGCAATGTAAGTTCGACAGATCCTATCTGGTGAGTAACCACTAATTCCTGTACAGCACGCATTCACTGCACTCGCCTGGCTGGTGACAAAGCCGACAACTGGTGGATGCGTTTCCACTCAAAGACGCTAAACCTCAAGTTCAAGAAGGGCACCAAGCGCCCCTCAAAATCCAATGCTATCGACCTCCTGTGCTCTGGTCTCGTCCCTGAGTCAGGCATCGAGCGCGACGATTTCGAGGCCAACTTCGAAGAGGTACCCCAGCCATTTACCGCGGATGAGCGCAAAGAGTGGCTCTCCAAGATGGAGAGCGTTGCCGTCAGCTCCGATGCCTTCTTCCCCTTCATCGACAACGTCTTTAGGGCGCACCGAAGTGGTGCCAAGTACATTGCTGCGCCCACAGGAAGCCAGAACGATGGCGCCGTCTTCGAGACGGCTGAGAAGCTGGGTATCACCTTTGTTGAGCAGCACATCCGGTTGTTCCACCACTAAGAAGTTGGTGTGAGAGATGAAGATGATACTTGCTGATGACTTTAACGTGCATTGAAGCTGGCGAGATGACCAGTCTAAATGAGATGAGATTACGATACCTTCAAAATGTGGATACTTCAACCTCCAACTCGACCGTCAGTAAATTGTGATCTATTGAGTGGCACGGCCTACTCCTTGCCCTGAAAGGCCCTTCAGAGCGCTCCCATCCTGCTGCCATCCTGCTGCG